TTGCCAAGATGTTTTTCTGAGAAAACTTTTGTCAACAATAAAGTACGTAAACAAGTTACTTCCAAAACTTCGCTGTTATAAAAATCAGAAGCAGCAAATTGGTCTACCTACGAGGTGGACTCATTACGCAATATTTATTACAAAAACTTGGACTTTGAAATTCAAATTGAATAGGAGACAGCCCGCCCTTAGACTGATTACCAATCACGAAGACGCTTTCAACTTTTTAAGTCAATATCCCAAGTAAACATCACCACGTACAGGCGGCGGCACGTCAAGCGTCACACTGTTATCTAAAGATGTTATAAATAGGTGTGATTTTGCAATAGAAATACAGTGTGTCCGGGCATGTAGTGATCAAACTTTAAAGGCGTAATCTATGGACAATTTTATCGATGAAAATACTTCAAATTTGGGGCCTGACCCTTTTCTCGAAAAATTACATCGATTTAAGTTTTTAATTTTTAGTTTACACCTCTTCTTTAAAAAACAAGTGAAAGCGTGGGTAGCTTAACATTAATAGGCAAATATTTTATATCATGCTATCGCATTTAGATATCGATAGATAATTTTATTATCTATTAGTAGAAGAAGAAAACAGACACAAGTTTCGTACATTTTATGGGAGTAAGAATGGATTTAATAACAAAAATACATTACTTTTTTCACTTCTTTTTCAGTTATTTTCCAACACAAGAAAAACCAGGTCGTTAAGGTATGTTTTATTTGCATTGTGTTATTAGTATTTGAGCTATTCTACAAAACGAATGTAAATTTATTAGTCTAAGTCTATTAGTTTCGACGTAATTGTTGAACAAAGATACCCCTTCCCAGCGGTTTCCATAGCACACGCGACATGCGAAAATACACTGCCTGAAAGAATCACTCAACCTATTCCGATTACTATGGAAACCGCTGGGAAGGGGTATCTTTGTTCAACAACTAAGTCGAAACTAATAGACGTAGACTAATAAATTTACATTAGTTTTGTAGAATAGCTCAAATACTAATAATACAATGCAAATAAAACATACCTTAACGACCTGGTTTTTCTTGTGTTGGAAAATAACTGAAAAATAACTGAAAAAGAAGTGAAAAAAGTAATGTATTTTTCTAATTAAATCCATTCTTACTCCCATAAAATGTACGAAACTTGTGTCTGTTTTCTTCTTCTACTAATAGATAATTTTATTGGCTATCGCATGATATAAAATATTTGCCTATTAATGTTAAGCTACCCACGCTTTCACTTGTTTTTTAAAGAAGAGGTGTAAACTAAATATTAAAAACTTAAATCGATGTAATTTTTCGAGAAAAGGGTCAGGCCCCAAATTTGGAGTATTTTCATCGATAAAATTGTCCATAGATTACGCCCTTCAAGTTTGATCACTACATGCCCGGACACACTGTATAGTCTGCTGTGGTTGTACTTTGAAGACTGGAGCGTTTTTGCGGGAAGAAATTGAAACATTTTAATTTCTATCCTGGCTGAAAATAATTAGTTTGGTTAAAAAAAGTTTATATTTCAAAACAAGAGTTTGTAACAAAATTTTAACGACAGCGAAAAACAGATGAAAATCATATTGTCGACTCATGGCTGAAAATATTTTTCTTATAAAGTAAGAAAAAAGTTTCCAATTTCAAAAAAGGAGTTTTCATACCTACCAGGCTGGTTTTATTCAATGAATACAAAACAGATGACAATCAACGTTAAGACGCCACAGATCTAGTTTGTAGAATAGGGTTGCGAACAGTGTGTTTCTGACTCGAACATCTTGACGTCAAGTGTCAGCTTCGGAATGGTAGCATTTCTACGTATACGTATAAAAGCAGTCAGCTTCATTGTTCTAGCTGTAATTCCGCCTTCAACACTTAATTAAGATTTGCAAGGTCACGTACGTAACACGTGTGTGCCAGAAAACCTTCGAATACCTAGGTAAGTAGAATTTCTTGGTTCCACCATAAACTGATATTATTATGACATAGGTAGACAATTTGGCTACGAAATGGTCTTAAGGCGACATGAAAGTTCATCATCAGGATATACAGAACTTAAAGGCTTATTTAATTATTAAAATTAACTACGATTGTTATTAATATGCCTACCTATGTACTTACTTATCTGTCACTTGTAAGCTAAGGGTTTCTGATAGGCAATGAAGCCACTAAGGTACGGGTTTGTTATTTAAAACCTTTGTCAACCTTCACTTATTAGTAAAACGGCAGTCTTTTAACATCTCTTACCTTTGCCGAACAAAAACAACCAATTAAAGTCGTCAGCTCGCCGAATTTCTTCCCAAAAGGCGCTTAAATCTATTAATTTGGAGAATAACACAAGGAAATTTCATTTATTAACGTAAAGAACCCATTGTGTCAGCTAATAACATCGGACAACAGAGGGCGAGGTTTAATTAAGAGGATGCCGAGTGTTTGAGGAAGCTGGAACACGGGTGAGTTATGTCTACTTTATGTCACGTTTATTGAATGCATGTTTGGAATTGAGAGGTGGTTCCAGTGACTTGGTCCACGTTTAGCTTGGTCCACGGGCCAAGTCGCTGGATTGAATTTTTAAATATTTTTTCCTCCATTACCACTCTAAGATTCTAGAGTAGATTTTTATCGATTTTGTGTTTAATTTATTAATAAAAACATTGAAGGTGGGCTCAGTTACTGAAAGAAAAAATATTTAAAATTCGATCCAGCGACTTGGCCCGTGGACCAAGCTAAAACTGGGCCAAGTCACTGGAAGACTCGAGGTGTGGCGAATAATCTTTGTGGACTTAGGCTGAAAACAAATGAACATCGCGGGAGTATACGGCTATCGCACACAGAGACCGTGATAGAGGTCATTAGAAAAACAAATGAATGGGATATTCTGGAAAATTTCTTTTAATTCAAATAAAAACAAATGACGTCATAAAGAAAATATTGTGAGATACGAGATAGGGAAATCGCTCTTGAAGCAACAAAATGCATTTTTTTAATGGCTCGCGCAGCTGTTACATGAAGAGTTTTGATAAACATGTAATTTTGTAATGTTATGATGAATAACCTAATCAATGTTTAGAATACTAATATAATAAACGAATTCTATTTTATTCTGTCTTGTACATATATCATTCGCTATTGAGTACTTTTCTTAATTTCAGACATTGAAAACTAGCTACTCACTTCTACAGTATTTTCTGCTAATTTTCATCATTGAACAAATACTTTCAGTTTATTATTTTAGTGTTTGAAATTCAAATTCGTTTGTTCAATTTAGGCTGTTAAGAGGCAATGGAATTCAAATGAGGCTTTTTATATGCGACTCACCTGTAAAGTAAAGAAAATTATAACGTAACACCAACGTTGTGGCATGCGTTTTAATACGGACCGGCAGCACAGAGGGTACCTACCTAACTGTTTTTAAGTGAATGAATAGGTAACAAAAATGATACAGAATTTTCTAACAGATGAAGGTAGTTGATACGTTGATATTGTCTTTATAGTTTTTGTCGGCACGGACTCTAATCTACCAATATTTGTAATAGACAATTTTCTGAAATGTTTTCGATTCAGCCCGTAAAAATAGCTTGAGTTATGTCCGTTTTCACCATAAATCCATAATGTTTGTGACCCCTATGGTAACACATAACAGGCATTTTGTTTTCATAGGGGTCACTTAAAAATCAGTGATGAAAACGGGCATTAGTATCGGTAGTTAAGACTTAATTAAATACGATAAAATTAAATAATAATCGCACCCATAGAATCATCAATCAATATTTAAAATCATCAGTTCATAATCAAACTGTATACTATTAAAATCTCCTAGTTCTCAGCATCAGTACTCTCAAAAATATGATCCATGGACAACTTATTAATGATTAACACATAATCTCTTAAACTCATTCATTCTGCGTCAGTTGTCCATGGATCATATTTTTATAAACATGTCTTGTCATTGGTTTCCCAGTCAATTCCTACTCAGCTCAGGGCCACGTCTCCCGATAATGTTATTATAACACGTCCAGAAAAGGTGGCGTATCCAGACAAGTGCCTAAATAAATATAAATAATAAAGTTTCGTAGGCGTCCCGCTTAATAACCTGGCAGGTTCAACATTCCCAGCAGGTGACGGTTATGACCATCCAGATAAAATGTTTTTGGAGCGTTTGGGTGTAGCCAGAAGAAAACAGCCAGGTACGACAAAACAATAGAAGTTTTATTCTTGCTAGCCGTCATATGCCGTCATTGCCCGTGACGTTCGCAGTTCGTGCAGATTTTATAAAGACCACTAAGAGGTCCGGGCATGCACCGATATGTGGCTCATGCGATGCTAATGCAACGTTAATGGAGTTTATACTCCATGCTGGACTTAGGTCTGAGCATAGCCACCTATGTCTGTGACTCTCATAATATTATTATGTTGCAACCATTCCTGGATTTTCACACGTAGCCTTTTGACAAGAAACGATCTCCTTCACCTTGATAAAATCATTTTCATTCATAGCTTTAGAAAAATCCAGTAAATTGTGATATTTAAATTGAATTGACACAACAATGTCTCGGATTAACAATCCAAATTTTTAATTATGTTAATAAAGAAGAATGTGATGAACTGGCTGTATTATTTCATCTGACCTTAGTTCCAGCAGTTCACGCTGAATTTATTACCACAAATAAAACTACCCTTTTAACCTATTTCACATTAGGTCATGGGATATTTGCATATTATGACTATATCCAGACATTATTATTATGAAAGTGTTAAGCTTGACCTACTATAAGCTCGAGAATGAAGGTTTAATGCAACAAGGTTAGAAATGTTAGAAAATTATTATGTTAAAATGGTAAGACACGGGTCTTAACGCGACGTTTATTAATAAGTTACATTATGTACTCACAATGGAACGCGAAAATGATTATGTTACTTATGTATGAACATTTTTATCTTTATTAAACGTTTTAATCACAACAGTAAAGGTATGTTAATACTAATACACAAGTGTGGTCAAGAAAGAAAACGCGGTTAAAAAACAAAAAATCGCGTGTATCATTAAGAAATCCAGTTTGCACACAAAAAAGTACATAGAAATTTAAGACAACTCTAGATTAATATCATAATAAAAAATAACATGTAAATCCTTTTAAAACTTCATTCTTCTTCAGGTGGAGCAGGCGTAGTGGTGGTGGTGACTTCAGTAGTGGTGGTGGATGGAGTGGTGGAGGGAGTAGTAGTTGGTGCTATAGTAGTGGTACTTCGGAACAGGCAGGTGATGTCGAAACCCTTGCAGACGAGGCAGAGGACCTGGAAATAAGACAAAAAAGACTTTAAAAGAAACTCCAAGAACTTGATGGACTTCTTATATTATTAGAGGATCAGAGAAGAATGTCAAAGTCAAAGTATTTATTTGCAAAGAATAGGTACAATAGTCTAGAAAATAAGAAGGCTATGATGATAATGGAAACTTCTCTAGATATTACCTACTTTCTTTTATAGCCGAACGGAAGCCACGATAGCCGAATGGTGAAGGGGTCGGACTGGCCGACTTAACATCCGAGGAACGCAGGTTCTAGCGGCGCGCCGCTCGACTGTTGCGTTGAGCCCATTCGTGACACAAGCATTTAGCTTACCACGAGGGGCTTACGGGACTTTGTAATTTGTGCAATACTAACTACTAATATTCTTTAAAAATTTTGAGGAAATATAAGAGAAGAAAAACAGAAAATTTTAGAGGTATTGACGGAACTACCCCATGTGGAAGTGACCCTACTATGTCTTCATCATCATCATAATTTTTAGCCATAGGACGTGCAGTGCTGAACTTTGCCCTCCCCCAATGATCACCCTAAAATTACAGTTCTTAAAACATCAAGTCCGCTGAGAGGTCAACAAAAAAACAAAAGATAAAGGTCAAGTGGCCAAAAAGATCGCTTAAAAAGGCTCACAGTAAAGTGACAACGAACATAAATACCTATCAGAAGCTGAGTTATTGGCGGAGACAAGAGAGTTTTATTGCTTCTTGTGTGACTTTGTCCAACAAAGGCTGAGTTGTACCACCTTTTCAATCGTGACTATAACAATAGCCGGTGTTTTTTGTATGGAGTTTGAGCACAGATCACAGAAACTAAAGGGAGATGTGACAAGGGGGCGGGGCCGGTGTCGCAGCAATATGCCCAAAAACAGAACACATTGCTCGTGCCAGCAATGATGACAGCAGCGAAGTCATAATGTAAACAGTTTACATTGCTTGCGCAGTACTAAAGATTATTCGAACGTCGAGTACTGATACCGCAGTGGATAATGAGCACATATTTTGATTACTTTGTGTGTGTGAATTTCTAATGCGACACTGAGTTTCGAACTCAGCGCAGTATTTCTATATCTCTATGAGTTTGACAGACATTTGACATTTTGTTAAAGTTAAAGTAAGATGGTGCAGCCCTGCCTAAAAGTTGAAACAGTTACCCAAATCCCCGGAGAATGTCCGTCGTCACCGCGTAAACACAAACTTGATCTAAAACTGTAGCATTTCTCAACTATCTCCCAGATCGATAGTAACGTTGAACATTATAAAAGAATTTCTCGAGCATCGAGTTGTTCGGTTAAAGATACTGAATAAAGATATTTTCATTTCATATTTTTCATTATTACCTATCTCTCTATTTCAACTTCTATTCAAAACATTTCGCAAAACCTTTTGAGGCAAGGTTTCTAATACAATCAGTCTTTCAGCTTTATTTATCAGTTACTTATAATTAGACAAAGGGGATTGTTATTCAATTTAAAAGTTGATTACTAGACAAAGCGCACAGTATTGGTGGATTAGTATAGAAAATTAACGCTCACCTTGTTTGCCCGGGCTGGTATAAAATCCTTGCAAAGCTCTAGTAGACCAGCTTTGGTATCTGTAAAGAAAAATTGAGTTATGTGTTGTATTTTTAATAGAGATGAAACGGATAGTTGTTTGGCCGGATACCGGATACCGGATATCCGGCCTGCAGCTAGGCCGGATAGCCGGATATCCGGCGGCCGGATAGTTGGCCCATTGTCTCGTTGCATGTCGTGACGAGTATAGTATAGCACAGGTGCTTCGAACGCGATCAGTGGGTCTATTACGAGCCCCGATGCAAAATAGTTCGTCTAGTACGAAAAACATGGAGAAAGATTTTTTCTTACTTAATTATTTTTGTCCAGTTACGTAAACATAAAAACTATTCTACCATCTCATGTTCGGTTACTTATGCACTATTTAATGTTGAAGCAATAAACTGTTTCAGCCTTTTAAGTTAAGAGATACCGTGCTTTTAAGTCGAGCAATCGTAAGCAAAATAGTTCATATAGTTGTTAATCGATGCAAAAGAGTTTGTCTATCATTGAGTTAAATATTTTTTACCCTTTTTTAAATTCAATTTTAAAAGTTTACGTTTGGTAAAGTAATTCTGAGTCATTTTTACAAGTGGGATAGTATAAATTTTTGAAAAATTCTGTTAATTTCTTCAGTTTTCAAGTAAAAATGGGTCGTGCGTGGCAAACCAGTGGGTAAAGAAGTAGTTTTTGGGATTGAAATGGGCAAATCAAGTTACCAAATTTCGAAAGACTTGACACTGCCCAGATCTACAGTGCAATCTATCATTCAGCACTATAAAAATAATAGAAATACCAGTAAAACAGAAAACAGAATTCTTAAGGAAATTGACAAAAAAAATCGTCGTGCTCGAGCTGGAGAAGTCACGGTGCAATGGAGACTTGATTGACAAAAAATTCTCAGTTGATACCTGCAAAGAGTGTTGAAAAGAATGGGGTCGGATTTTATACAGCTAAGGAGAAAGCCCTATGGACTGCCTTACAAAATAAAAAGAGATTGAAGTTTGCTCGTGATCACTTAAATTGGACTTCTGAACAGTGGCGTAGCATCATATGGAGTGAAGAGTCCAAATTTGAAGTCACAGTGGGCGATGGAAGAAAAAAAGTGGTTCGAAATAAACATGAAGCATTTCATACCGATTGCATTAAACGAAAAGTCAAGTTTCCAGCGTCTCTTATGAGATGGGGCTGCATGTCTGCACAAGGTGTTGGTGGGATGCAGTTTGTGGATGGTTCCATCAATGCAACAAGATACCAAACTATTTTGGAAGAAAGTCTATTGTCCTCCATTCCGTTACTCAAACATCAAGATTCTTTCATTTTTCAACAAAACGGTGCCTTCTGACATACTGCAACGACAACAAAGACATGGCTGCTGTCAAAGAGCATCCCAACCATCGAATGGTCATTTAACAGCCCGGAATGATCGCCGATTGAGACCCTATGGTGTCCAAGTCCAAGTCCTTCGCAAAAATCCACCAAGATCGAAGACCGACTTGAAGGCTAAACTCTTGGCTGTGTGGGAGTCAATTACGACCGACGAGTGTGCAGCGTTGGTTGCGACCATTCCTCTTCGCATTAAAGCAGTAATTGAAAGCAAAGGCGACAGAACTAAGTGGTAGACGAACTATTTTGCTTGAGAGCCAATGGTAGACGAACATTTTTGCGTCATTTGTTTCAGTATATTTTTTTATTTATTTATGATAACTAAGGTCATGAAAGATTTTGAGATACGTTAAAATAAACTTTGGAATGTTACTCAAATTGTGGTTTACTTTCTTCTTAACTTTCTTAATTACTTTACCCAAATTCATTTCACATTATTACATAATTATCTTATTTTTCATACTAGACGAACTATTTTGCATTGGGGCTCGTAGTAGAATAGACTAGTCACACTTTTGGAAAATTGAATCCGTCCGAATAGAATGTCAGATTTTGCCACTTGTCTAGGGGGCAGATCAATTCAATTTCGGCTGCAATCGTGAGTGTGTGATTGAATAGCGAAAATTTAACTATAGTTGCATCATGTCATCAGACCATCAATGAAAAAAAATCGCCTATTTTATTTGGCAATATTTCGACATTAACAGATATTTACTATTTATCTATGTATTGGTCATTAGAGTGAATAGCCCAGAAAAATAAATTAGTTTTGAAAGGCCTTAATATGGCTTTTTTGTAACTTTTTGGATTTTAAATAAAAGCCGTCATTATTGTAAGCCATTTTATTGATATTTACCTCAAAGAATAATGTATTTCATTTTAATAATAAGAAATTGTCGTAGTTTTTTAATATCCGGTATCCGGCCGGATAGTGAGTTACTATCCGGTATCCGGCCGGATAGTGAGTTACTATCCGGTATCCGGCCGGATAGTAAATTAGGGCCGGATATCCGGCCTACCGGATAGTTGCCGGATATCCGTTTCATCTCTAATTTTTAATACAAATTTTATTATATTATATTATTATAAAACTTTATTGCACAATAAAATAGTACAAAAGGTGGACTTAATGCTATTTAAGCATTCTCAGCCAGTCGACTCCTGGGTTATGCAGAAAGCTGTGAGTGCGAAGGTAGAGGTAGAAGGGTAGAAGTTAAAATTGAAGTTTTACTTAGTTTGTTACTCACAAAACCGTTTGACAATCAATTAGGCACAGACGTTGAGAACCTATCTATACTAGAGGTCGCGGGTTCGATGTCTGCACAGTGCAAATAATAATGTGTGCATAAAACTATTTATTTTTAAGTAACTAATGTTTAATTAAGAGCTGTTTTATTCTTCAGTTCAAAGTTATCCGACTATCCATAGCTAACAAAAGATTTTCTTATTTTGAGACTAGAGCGTTGTAAGAAAATCGTCTGGACTTTTTACCCGTTATTTGACTCAAGAGGTACCTATTGGCATATATCGCAATGGCGCCATGTCTTTTGATTATAATCATCCACATCTAATAACGACATAATCCTCGTGGAACTTCGGAAACAAATATTGCGTAAACTAAGCCAGGTCACGCCCGGCTTCCGAACTAAACCAATATTTTAGACAATCGGATACTGGAAGCATTAAAACTTCCTCGGTAACTTATTTTTTGAAGCAATCAAATTCCGATTCGGTCAGTATTAAAATAATGTAAGAGATATGTTGTATACGATTTGTACAATTTAGTATCGTTTCAGTTTAACCATCTAATCTTGTTTATTCTCTAAATATCACTGTGAGCGTATTTAGGGAAACTTTCAGTGATTTCACTAGTACTAATAAAAAATCAAACCACCACCATTTAGAAGTGTGTCTTTGCTTTATCATGGGAAATTTATTTTATCATTCGAAAACTTATTAACTGGATATAAAATAAATTACACGACCTGAAATATAATGAATCATGTTTAATCTTTTATTTTGCTAAATCTCTAACTCGATAAAATGTGTAGAGGTATTCACACACACATTATGCGGGAAATATGGTTTGGTCCTCTCTATGGAAATTCTTATTTAGGTACGTTTTTGCGGGACTTTTACTTATTCAGTTTTGATGTGTTGCTTAAATTGAAGTGCCCTTTAGTTTCACTTACGAGTAATTGCTCTTTGATCTTACAGAAGCCGCCAAAGGCGACTAGCAACTGTCCGCCCAAGAATTCGTAAACCAGTGTGGATACAGCTTAATTTCCCCAGCCCTCTGTGTTCTCGTCGCCTCATGAAATTTTCGTTACCACCCGCTTATTTGAAGGCAAGCGTTGTGGTTACGTTTAGAGTTGCTTACGGATTAAACGTTTTAGATTATGTATTTTATTAGGCTGTCAAATGGGGATAATGCTTCTTAGGATCTGCTTTATAAACATTAATTATGTAGTCTAAGTTGCCACCTTATCTTTAATTATAACTACGACCGGTGTTTTTGTATGGAGTTTGACAAAATTGGCGTTTTTTATGTAAGATGATGCAACCCAGGGTAAATTTTTCCCATTCGGAGTCAATATAGCGGCATTGACACGTAAAAAGAAGAAACAAATCTAACATACAAATGTTTATGCTCTTCATAACATGCACACTTCACGAGCTTTAATTTTTACTGATACTACTACTTACTTATCTATTGTACCAATACAGGGTGTAGGTGTTTATGTAAGAAATAAAAAGACTAAACTTTCAAAAGTAACTTTGGACCATGATTTTTCGATCGAACGCCATGTCATATTATTCATTACTGACTATTTGCATTAATGCAAACTTCGTAACAGGAATTATAGATGAAATTAAATAAAAATCTTTTTTTTTACATTATTGTGAAGAGAAATTCCAAAAAAAGATTATACGAGTACATTCAGAACTAATAGATGTTCTAAAGTTATTTCAAAATCTATTTTAAGATTCCACGCCTACGCATGCTTCAAATTTGTCGTTCGTTTATGTAGGAATTTCAATTAACTAGCCAAATTACAATTCTGTCCACCTCCTCTGAAACTTGTCAAGGGTGATTAATAAATGAAAGACAGACTGCTTAATTACTGCCAACCGGTTAAAATTGAAGAGATTAAACACCAAGCGTTGGCAAAATTTTAACGATGATGATTTGAATCGTTTGATCTCTTGAGTAAAAAATGTTGATTGTATTAAAATAGTACTACCTCGTTTGTTCGTTCGTGACTTGGGGAGGCCTTTGTCCAGCAGTGGGCGTAATTTGGCTGAGTACTTGCTTTCTTTTTAAACAAGAGGCATACAGGGTGATATGTATATTAACCATAGACAGCACATGAAGCCAAGCATTATGGCATCTTATTCAGTTATGATAGAATTTTCAACGAAAATTAATAGTCTGATGTGAATGTTGATAATAATGTACAATTATTAGCAAATGTTCTTAAAACACTTTACAGTCTATTGTGGAAATATAAATATTTTTCTGGTGTATTATTCGCTGGGTGCGAAGTACTAGGTGGGGGGGACATAATCTATCGCAGCGCTCATGGTGGTCAAAAGTAGAAATAATGTAAGCTCTGTCATCAGATGTATCTGTCAATGGCAAAGCGATTCTACATAATACATTTTAATATCATTAATTAATCGCATGAAAAGGGTCCTACTGGGAACTTAAATAAAAGAGTGGACTGTATTTCGATAGGGCTGTTTTAATAGCCGTTTACAATTTGGAAATAACTAAACTATACAACGTGGTAGTACAAAAATGAGTCACAGTAGTTGTTGTGCACAGATGTTTGCCTTATGATGAGAGCGTGAATTATTGAACTCTGCCCTTGTTTTGTTCTTAATTCTTCTACATCTCGGACTTGTCCAGCCAATACCAACAACTTTCCTTTAAATACGGTTTGTGGTTGGAATTTGATATTGTAACTCTCACAAACCCGGTCTTCAAAACGATACTCATTTCGATCTGAAAACGATATTTAATTTATTACTAGCGATACAGAAACATTTAAATATATTTACTGTTATATAATGAAACCGTTAAAGTAGCTTTTTCTTTTTGTTTTACTGTAAAACTACAACTATAAATGAAGTAAACAAACCCTGACACAATCAAAATTAAACACACTTTTTGGACTTACCTCATTTGATTTGAATGACCAAAATGATTTTAAAACCTTTTTTCCACCCAAATCGTGGTATCACAACAATTTATTCGTTGAAAATATTTGTTATTTTTTCATTTCGATATTTTTTCACAAATATACGACCTAAATGTCAATGTGACAGAACCCACAAAGTTGTGGACGCTAGTTGGCGCTGTAATCGTGCACGGAGCCAATATGGTAGATTTTATTTTATGCCAACATTTAACTTGAAACGTATTTTGAGTATCTAATTAGCGAAGATACTCAATGAATGAAGCTTTTTGACTGACTATCAGAGCTGCTTAATATTATGTAACTTGTTATTTAATAACTTGATATTATCTTTTTTCATGTTTATATTTTTCAAGTAACTTTAAACCATAAAGGTAATTTTGCATTTTCTTTACAAACTAAGTATAATATCTCCAATTTTTGTTGTTCGATCTAATGTCTAACTAAATAAGATTTGGCAAGAAGTCTTCCTAAAAATGCCAAATACAAATTTGCCACCCTGTATAATCAAATATTCCGCTGCCGGGGTTGATAACATATTATCGCGTTCCCGGGAGACGTATCCATTAGGTGTTCAAACACTCCGATTTATATGGAAATTTAAATAAAACCATTTTACGAGCGTTACCGGGTACATAAAGCTTACTGGAGTGTTAGGATACTGTGTAATCCACTGTGTCGATTGAAATATTGGTCATATCCTAAATAATGGCTCTTCTAAGACAAACACCGTTTTATTTCACATTTAAAAAAAATAGTAATTAGTACTCTAATTTTATTAAATTGTCATGTCACAGTGTTTGTAACAAAACTCTGCCGAAACCAGCTATTCTTATGAAACTCTATGAAAACTATTTTTGATACTCCTTAACCTCTAATGTAAAATAAGTATTAAGAGTTTTCCCGCGTAGATGCTAGCTCTATGTACCTTGTTAAATAATTGTGGTAGACTCCTTTTAATTAACTTAAAATTCACTTACTTGAAGCTAATAATATCCAACAAATTTTTGACAAGAAATACCAAAATTATAATATAAAACGCTACTGACCTCCGTCACTCGCCGCAAGCTCTTTGGGTAGACATTCTGCCTTTAAAACCAAGTACGCCCAACAAAACAAAATCAGCAAAAGATACTTGGGTGAACCCATTATAATATAGCATAAAACACGTTAGTCGCTAGTGGCGAGGCTATGGAGTGTAAAAAGACTGCAATATTATGTACTTGCGGTTTCGGTATCTCCCTACATAAAATTTTATGCGAGTTGTAAGTATAGGTCAAAGTAGGGTTCCGTCGATGTTAGACCATTGATATTAATGGTTTTATAAATATTAATAGGTACTGTAATGTGCTCGTGACTGCTATTAATCTATCGTTTAAAGGTGGACCGACGACCTGATAAAGGTAGCAGGAAGGCGCTGGATGCAGGCCGCTACCAACCGTGCGATGTGGAAGTCATTGGGGGAGGCCTATGTTCAGCAGTGGATGTCCTCTGGCTGAAATGATGATGATGATGATGAATCGTTTAATTGGCACAGTAAAATAAGTTTCTAAATATGGTAGCAAATACATATTTTGCCTTACTGCTTATTAAAATTAAGTCTTATAATGGTAAGAAATTGGACATAACAGAAAACTTTTTCATCAATTCAGCCAAAGTTCACAGTTGGACTAAGGCCTTCCCACTCAAAGATTTCAACAACGATCGGTTCAACGCTGGCCACAGATTTTTCCAAATAAACAATAAAATAATTTCGATTTGGCACTCCTGAATAAATACTACCTACCTTTTATCCCTTAAAATACTCCATACAATGACACTTTCATTAACATGGTTCGACGTGTTTTTGTCATGCCTAGTGACCGGTGCAAGGTCAAACTGTATTTGCATAATGTTGTTGACGTTTACGAGAGCTTCCATATTTACCTTGTTCGAAAGCTCTTACAGGAAAGTTTTGGAGTCAAGTTCATCTTACTCTTATGAATCAAAATTATGCTCAAAATAAAGCTGTGTTTTTTTCTTACAGTTCATAAATATTATAATTGCAAGGGATTCATGTTTATTCATGCTTATAGAGGTGAGCTACGGATAGTAAATTATGCTGTAGTAGTTTTCGGTTATTGATGTTTTGAGTTTCAGAAATCTGTAGGTTGTATTTTTAAGTGATAATTACTCATCATATTTTATTGTTAGCCTATCATAGTTCACAAAGTAGAGAAAGAGCACCACAAGTCACGATCACTCGCTTTTTCATCCAGCCTTTGTGTAATTTTCTTAAGGTGTTCAGACTACCGAATAAAAGGAGAGTCATTTTGTACGTTTGTAGAGACAAGTTTTGTGAATGCTTATACTAAAACGTTTATTTTTATTTGTATACAGAACAATAGTGTCTAGACAAACCTCAAGAGGACTATTTAAATCAAAGATGTAATGGCTAAATAATGTAATAATAAATAAATAAATAATAAAACATGGTCTTCATTCGAAAACCCATTTACTCCATCTTCAATTGCATTTTGTTTGGTGCATTTACATCCCTGTATTTATATCTTTGAAATAAACAGGAGCCTTGTGTATTGCTAATACTTATTTGTACCCACCACTTTCTATTCCGTTGTCACGTGCAGGAACCATCAAATTGGCATATCTCCCCAGAGAAATTGCATATGCGATAAGCAAGTCGTGTTTTGATCTTATGCGGCAGAATTTAAATTTTGAACTGCGTTTTCTGAAACCAAAGTCAGAAAATATAATATACGGTTTTTTAGCTAACTTACGAAAATACTAATAAAGAGAAAAGTATGACGGAAAATATATTCGAAAAGACTTCTGAAGGGTTAAAACTTTTTTATTAACTATCCTGTACGAAATGTGGCCTAAGATTGCTAATAGTTAACCTGAATATCTTTTAAAAGTAAATTCCATTTCATTGTTGTGTTTGTGCTATTTGAAAATAAGTGTAACAAATCCACGTAATCTTTTGTAACTCAAGACATAAAACTCCGTCGCCGTTCCTGTACATTCTTGCTACATAAAAGAGCTTATCTTATGCTTTTTACAGCCTGCTGTAAAATTTACTAAACAATCCCCAACAAATTCTTTACACAACGCAATTTCGACTTTATGACCTTAGATATAGGAAACAGCGATCTTATTTCTTTTGTCGACGTCACCCGGCCAATTAAAGGAGACCCCATCGCGCCGTAATTCTTAAAACGCCAGTATTGATTCGAAGGAAACGGTTGAACTTGTGTCTTTATCGAAATGGAATACAGCAAGTTCTGAGTGTCACGATCTGTGATTATCTGGAATTTTTACTTCCATTTTATGGGCAAATTTTCCCTAATAGGACCTTTGTTAACCGGCTTTTGCAAAATCGCTTGTGATTTAGTCGGTAACAGTACAGTTCGAAATTCTTTATTACTAGCTGTGCCCGCGACTTGGTACGCGTTAAAACCCGTTTTCGCAACATTTTTCATTTTTTCTCTGCACCTATTACTCGTAGCGTGATGGTATATAGCCTATAGCCTTCCTCGATAAATGGGCTATTTAACAGTGAAAGAATTTTTCAAATCGGACCGGTAGTTCCTGAGATTAGCGCGTTCAAGTAAACAAACAAACAAACTCTTCAGCTTTATAATATTAGTATAGATGAGTCGACGATAATGGGCACAGCGTTATTTACCTTTTACGGTCGTAAAACAGACGTGAAAAGAATGGGGCAGACGGTATCGTTGTAATTAGGGGACATCAAACAGTCAAATTATATAAATTGCGATCTGTTTCTTTATAAAACATCGTATTCATTCTATCGTGATAATTTGAAATTAAAAGACACACATGCTGAAGAAATTAATGTATTCTGATTTATCAGTTTCAGCTAAAGGAACAACATAGACGAATGTTTTCCACTCCAAATCCAAAGTATTTCCACCAAATGGAAATTCTGCCCACATTACGTTTTCCGGTCTGTGGTCACCACTTAAACCTCTGCCTGCATGTTTTAATTTTTGGTGAAGGCATCTCAAATTTGAAACAAAATAAAACTAGCGAATATAATAATATTCCAGCTCTATTGTCAACATGATATAAATAATGTGGGATACCATTGTCTAGGGACACAAATTGTGGAGAATTAAATTTATACGAGTGACCACAATAAACGCTCACTCTCAGTAGATTCCTGCAATATTTCCTGCAGTATTAAGTTTATTCATATTACAGAATACCCAATTCAGTTACAAGACCAACAGTGTACCAGGGCTGACAACATTATGATTTAATTAAGTTAATATCTTACTTAAACATGGGTTTAATTTTGGTGGTTAATAAATGACTTTGTTAACGTCGCTTCATCTAAGAAAGCAATTTAAGAACATGCTTATTCTTAATAGCCAAAGTAACTAACGGTTGCTAATTATTAAGCGATACTAAAATTAAATATGCCCGAAAGAACACACCTCTAGCCCATTTTAAATGAACTACTGTACTTATTTGTATTGTGTCGCAGAGGTAAATGTTTCCTCTTGCATTAGGTCCCCAGGTAATCCATTGCATTCTGGAATATCATTATGGCCTCGGACGGGTTAAATTTGTCCAGGCCTGTGGAATTTAAGATAATAGAAGTAATTTTAATTCCTAGCTTTAGTAACAGGAAATTTGGTGTGCGCGATGAAATTTGGACTTTAAAGACGATTATTTTAGGTAAGATAACTTACCTATAATAATCCTAAAAATGCTATAATTTAGGCTAGCACAGTCTAGCTGAGACATCAATCAAAGACAAAAACCTCTTAACTTGTTTTTACCTGCATCTTTGCAGGGTTAAATAATATTATTATTACAATTGGAACTATGCAGTTTCTTATTCCAGCAATCATCAACTACATAAAAATTTCAGCTTCTTTCACTGAATGTATCAAAATCGTGGAAATGCTAATGTAAATATTAACATACGGTCCATAAGGTCTAATTTATGAATTTCGTATGTTTTTTTGTGATACAATACGGTAATAATTTTTAAATATTGAATTACGACATGACAGACAATGCTTTTAACATTTTCTGATAAGGTAAAAGCGGAATATACCTGGACTGATAAGGTGACCTGCGGCTGCAGTCGTTACGTAATATCCATGGGACTTCACTATCACTACATAGTATAAAACAAAGTCGCTTTCCGCTGTCTGTCCTTACATTGTATGCTTAGATCTTTAAAACTACGCAACGGATTTTGATGCGGTTTATTTTAAATAGATAGAGTGATTCAAGAGGAAGGTTCATATGTATAAAACATGCTTATTATAGAAAAGAAAAGCCGGGAAATTTCATTGCAACCGTGCGAAGGGGCGGGCCGCTAGTGTATTATAAAAGTTTATAAATATGTCTGCACTAATATTATAAAGAGGAAAGATTTGATTGTTTGTATTGAATAGACTTCAAAACTACTGGACCAATTTGAAAAAATATTTCACTTTTAGAAACCTACATTATTTCTGATTAACATAGGTGGTACGAAGTTCGCAGGATCAGTTAGTATACAAATAAAAAGATTGGACGTCTGAGAAGACCATTTTATAATTTAGGATCCTTGTTTGTGTATCTGTTTTAGATTACAAGTTACAACAAAATTTTGTGCTTCGTCTGATGCATTCTACTTGTCGTATCGACAACAAACCTACACAGTGTCAGTCCAAAACTTCGCTACAAGAGTGGCGTTGTTAGAAGCCTTCATTAAATCTTCCTGCGTGCAGTTACTGTTGTTTGGGCACCCAGGGCACGACATCATGTGCTTCATCGACTGGAACAAAACCACACTTGCACTCCAAAGTCTGATGCTAGCTCGTACACTTTGGATAGTTATTGATTCCAACGCATATTCAGCTAAGTACTCAATACTCAAAGATATAAAAAGTTTTTTCTTTTGTAGGATTATATCAGGGAGTCTAGACATACCAGGATTAATAGCTACAAATAGATATCGTTCATCCAAAACAGGCCTATTTACAAAAATAAAATGGTCTACATTAGTAGAAATAGATACATCGTTCGTTTATTAATAGGTTTTACTAAAATAGATTGACCTACATCTGTCATTTTTAGTGCCCTCAATCTTAGCAGTTGTACATTGATGAATGAGCCATCAAATTCTTCGCAATACTTTATTTCTGAACGTATAAA